CAGCGGTCAAAAGGAGGGGACTGTACAGGGGCTGACCCCCGCCATCCAGGGGAACCTCCATGCCATGCCCTGGCACCTGGGACGGAGGAGTGCCACCCATCCTCTGCGTGTCCTGGGGTAAAAGTGGATGGGAGGCTGCAGCGCCCACTGTAGGAGGCGCTGGGGATGGCAGGGAGTGAAGGTGTCACAGCTCTGACAAGCGCCTGTCTTCCCATGTGAGGAGCAAGGGGCCTGGTGACCCGCTGCTGCCTCCACAGCCACTGCCGTGAGCTCTGACGCCATGTCTGCAGAGACGCCTCCCCTTCCATTCCCAACACTGGCTACTCGTACCTGCCCTCTCGTTTTGTTCATGATCGAGGGCATTAGGGTTACAGTTTTTATTGTGGCATCTCCTTTGTCCCAGGGACATTTAGAATTCTATTTCTTAATTTGCAACATAGGAAGAGCTTTTGTTTGGCTTTTCTCATGACGTATAATCTAACTGAACTGGCGTCAGGATTTACATTCTGTGTGGTGTCAGTTCTTTATAATGTACTATGGCTCAGCATAAAGTCTTTGTTTATAAATTTTCCACATATACTTTAAAAAATACGTATCCCATAATTTTTTCAAGAAGAATTATGTACCTGTCCACTAGGTCAACTTTGTTAATTATAATATTCAGGTCTTCTATATCTTTTATTATTATTTTGTCTCCTTTTCATTCCACCAGTTAAATGTAAAAATATCACCCTATAAATTATAGCATACATCCTTATCAAGATAAAATAACTGTTGGTCCTTCACCATTTTATAACCTTGTCCTTTAAGAATGCAGTCAACATAAAGACATTTTCAGTATTCTTTAGGCAGAAGAAAATAATCTGCAATAAAAAGTGAAAGAAGAAATCAAATCACAAATATGGGGATATAGCTAAATCAATAGCGGCTATTAGAAAAATAAAAGTAAAGACTTGTCAGATTTAAAATACACAGAATTAAAATACATCTAAACAACAGATGTGTAAGAAAGAGGCCAAGGGAGTAAAACTATACTATGACTTTCACACTGTTTGTAAAAACGATGGAAGCCTCCACATGAGACTTGATGGGGCACCTGTGGATACTGTAGCGATCTATAGGTGCTATTTCTGTGTCTAGAATTCTACATTAGCAGTTATTTTCCTCATGCACGTTGAAAATATCCAACTGTCTCCAGAATTCCGTGGTTCCTTTGGATACCATATCATTATAATTGTTTGTGAATGGAATCAGTACTTGTCTTCTGGCTGCTTGGGATTTTCATTTCCCTTATTTCACTGTAGTGGTGCTACTCTGGAACTCTTCACTGCACGTGGTCCATCAGCTTCAGAGGACTATCAGCCATTACCTATTCAGTGTTGCTTCTGCTCCATTCTCCCCATTCTCTCCCTCTGTAGCTTTAAAAGCTCACCACATTCTTTACTCTCTTGTGCTTCCTTATGCATTTTCTACATGTGCTTCTTGTTGGTGCTCTGTCTTCAAGTTCACCATTTTCTCTTAAACTATGTCTAATATGTTGTTAAACTCATTCAACTGAATCTTTAATCTTAGTTATTGTGTTGTTCAGTTCCAAATTCTTTTTTTTAATATATATTTTTATTGATTTTCCACAGAGAGGAAGGGAGAGGGACAGAGAGCTAGAAACATCGATGAGAGAGAAACATCGACCAGCTGCCTCCTGCACACCTCCTACTGGGGATGTGCCCGCAACCAAGGTACATGCCCTTGACCGGAATTGAACCTGGGACCCTTCAGTCCACAGGCCAACGCTCTATTCACCGAGCCAAACCGGTTTTGGCTCAGTTCCAAACTCTTATTTGGTTCTTTCCCATTTGACTGGCCCGTTAGGTTTCTAAGACTCTGCTGAGATTTGCATGTTTATCCGGTACCTCCTTGAGCACAGCGCTGTTATCTTGCGTGGGTTCTGATGATTCCACTCTTCGGAGACCCTGTCACTCTGCCCCTGTTGTTCTTGGTTTCTGCCCTCTGTGTCCAGCTTGTCTCATAGGCCTGGGGGCCTCCTCAGCTTTGATAATGTGCTGTATCTTTGGAATTCTGGGTAATCGTAATTTAGGGCCGAAGCTGTGGTCATTCTGAGGAGAAGTGTGAGTCCACTGAATGGAGCGCTGGGGTTTCTGTGCCCATTCAGACTTCAGGCATAGACTCAATCAGGAGTTCATCTGCCTTAACCCCCCTCCAGTCAGTCAAGGGAATCCCTATTTTCCTGCCTGCTTCAGCTGGACGGAACAATGGTGCAAGCTGTCCAGCTCACCCTGCTCCTCGGTCTAGGGGACAATTCAAATTCATGATGAGGAGACAAAGTAATGTCAGTGAAAATGAAACATGTGTGTGTCCATCCAGCAGGGTGCTTCAGATGGACAGAAAAAGTGCCCGTTAGTTACCTGACACCTGCATTTTTCAAGCGACAGAGCATGGAGGTGACAACAGCAATAAAGTGCAAGACGGGAACATTACATTTGTGTGAATCACACCGGACCTTCTAAGGACAGACACTAGCTATACCTCTGAAAGGAAACCGCATGTGGGTAGGGCCCCAGGAGAAATCAGCCCCATTATTTCATGACCTGCTCATGGGTACAGCATTCCGAGATGTGGAGGAGGATCAGCCCCTAACAATGTCACGTGATGGGGACAGAACTGAAAAGGTGCACAGTGCGGACGGTGGGCAGCACAGCATCTTAACCTGTGTCTATCGAAAACAGCGGTGAGCTCTCTGACGGGGGATAGAAATCCATCGCACAGAGAACAGTGGACTTGACTGCACTTGCTCGGAAAATAGCACGTTTATTGAGAGAGGGGCTTCCTGCCCAGAGTTCTCGGTGATGTTCTGAACTATATCCACTTCCTTCTCTTGCAGTAATTGTTACCAAGAAAAGCAAAAGTCCCGACAATCCCCCATTGTTCCTCATCAAAAGTCTCCTTTTGGGTGGCACTTCCCAGAGTCCCCTGGAATGTTCGCAGCAGGGAAGTGTTCCAGAAGGAGCTGGCGTTCCCGTGCGGCCGGGGCCTACCGCTGCCGGCACTCATGTCGGGTGCACGTGGCCTGCCGCTCGACCCGCCACGTGCCCTCCTCGTAGGTGCAGTGGCAGACGGTGCACTCATCCGTCTTCACCTCTCGCCCAGCGGGGATGACGGCGGTTTCTGCAAAGCAGTTGGGACCTGAAACACAGAGACATGTTAGTCGCGCGCGATACAGAAACACGCGGTGGGTTCAGTCAGGCGCTGGCTTCCCGTCCACGTCTGTCACTCTCACGAAGGACAGAGAAGTCCTAAGTGAAGGGGCAGCACCCCACGCTCTCCCTGAAATGTAACCAATGTTATTTAAAAACTGTTCACTAACAGATTATCCCATCTGGGGGCCTGACTTACCCATAGGCCAAGTCTGCAGTCATTCGAGCTAATTAATTCTACATCATCTTAGAAAAAACATAATTAACCGTGGCTTCCGAGAACCAGTCTTATTCTTCAGGCACTTTTCCGAGTGAGAGTTGAGCACAGCGAGCTGCTTGAAACAACCCGTGTCCCGCGCAGCTGCCACAGCACGCGGGCGGCTTTGCGGACGTCAGAGGCGAACCAGCCGCCTGGAGGGCTCTTCACACGTGTCTCGGGCCCAGCCCCCCAGCTCCGCAGTCACAGCTTGAAACTGGCTTTGGAATCCAATTCCCGGGTGGTGCCCAGGCTGCTCTGGGACCCCAGCTGAGACCCGCCGTCCGCACACGCTCCCGGCTGCATCCGCCACAGGTGCCCGTGAGGACCTGGGGATCCTCCACCAACATCCACCGTGAGCCCCTCAACCCCCACAGGGCCACGTCCACCTTCAGGTGAGGCCGCGGACAGGGAGACGCCACCGTCAGCAAGGTGCCCAAGGAGTTGAAACAGTTCGACGCTGTGCCCACACACCCGGTTCAGCTGCCAGCCTCCCTCTAGGACGGAGATGCCTGCCGTTACTGCGGCTGACATGAGGCCGCCTGACCTCGACCCTGGGCAGTGCGCTCTGGTTCTCACCTCCTGCCTCTGCCTGGAGTGTCTGCGTCTGCGTCTGCGAGTGCTCGCCACCCGAATGCTTCATCACGGCGCCTGCAGGGTCCAGGCGAAAGCCAGGGAAGGAAACGTGTCTACTAACGGCTACAGGACACTGAGCCCACTCGACCCAGTCCAGGCTTTCAGCCACACTGCACGACTCAGCGAGGGGGGAGAGGGGGAGCGAGCGGCGCGTGGGGGAGGGGCAGGGAAATGATGGCGGCACCATTGGAAATCTCTACCTATTTCAAAACAACAACACCCGGCTGGCATGGTTCAGTGGTTGAGCGCTGACCTATGAACCAGGAGGTCAGGGTTCGATCCCAGTCAAGGGCACAGGCCTGGGTTGCAGGCTTGATCCCCAGTGTGGGGCGTGCAGGAGGCAGCTGATCAGTGATTCTCTCTCATCATTGATGTTTCTTTCTCTCTCTCCCTCTCCCTTCTTCTCTGACATCAATAAAAATATATTTTTAAAAAGGAAAGAAAACAACAAAGGTTTAAATACGGCAACTGATGCCAAAACAGTGACCACTCACCAGGGAAAAGTGAGGCCTAGACAGTTTGTGGTTCCGTGTCGCCCCAGCAACAGATCAACCAGGACAGTCACAGACGATCGTTCTTCCTGACTCTGTCCTTGACCTTGGAAAGGGTCCCCGGAGGCCGGGGAAGGTCAGTGGCCCAGCAGGAGGCTGGTGAGTGAGCCCAGAGAAGCCGTGTTGTCCAGCTTTTCCTCTCATTTGATGGTCAGGACCCCGCGGAGGATGCTGGTGGCCACGCCTTCGCTCCAGTTCCTTGGGCGTCACGGCCACGTCTGCAGAGGTGGCTCTGGAGTGGAGAGCTCTGCCCCCGCGGGTCCAGAGGAATGGAGGTGGTTAAACGCGTCTGAACCGCCAGGCCCGTCCCGGGAACCGGGCGGAGCCGGGACCGCTGGTGCACGGAGCGCAGAGGAAGCACCTGCTGGGAGGGGGGACTCGGGTTCGAAGCGGGCTTAGCAGGTCTGGCAGACCCTGAGACAGACGGGTGGGGGGCAAGGAAAGCCGCTCCACCTGGCGATTAAGAGACCCGCTTTCCAGGTAATTAGGCCCCGTTTCTTCGCACTGAGTAAAGCTGTTGACAGGTGATGGCTGAAGGCAGGGTCGGGCTGTCAGAAAGCGGGAGGAGGAGGAGGGTCTTAAAATAGGATAAAGTGTCAGGGCTTCTGAAACAATAGCACCAGCTTCTTCCCGCTCCAGGCCCTCCAGGCCGGGCTGCCCAGCGAGCGCGGAGGTTCTCCCAGACGCCTTTCCTCGAAGCCCAGCGAGCCCAGTGCCCTAACAGCAGGTGCTGCGCCCGGTGCCCTAACAGCAGGTGCTGCGCCCGGTGCCCTAACAGCAGGTGCTGCGCCCCGGAAGGAGGGGGGGCTTAAACAACCTTTGCAGCCCCGTTATTCTCCCACCTTACAAATGAGGGACGACGGAGGCCCCTCCTGGTCACCACACTGAGGCAGACCGAGAAAAGAAAACCGTCTTTCCAACGAAAGGCAGTGTGTTTTCCATGGAACCCAACCAGCTGCCCACCATGAGGAAGTGCCCTGACCTTCCAAACTCCTCGCACAAGAGCCCGTCAGCACCGCCCTCACACTGTCCCTCGCCGGCTGGTCTGCGACCAAGGAAATGAACCTGTGATTGATATTTTGAAATTTACACGAAATTCATTTGGCAAAAGAGACCCAAACCTGGCGTCTGCTTTCGCACAAGCGATGTGCATCTCTTACTAATTAACCCTCCCCCTTCCCTGAGCTCTGACAAGCCACCAGTGTTACCTCGAGATAAGACCGCAGCCATCCAGGGAAAAGGGATTCATTCCTTCTCACCTTCCACGTGGTTTTGCTGGAGCACAATCCGTGCTGCTGTGGGCAGTGGGCAGCCTGACTGCTGGCCGCAGCCCGCCCTCCAGTTCCTGGTTGACCGGCCGACGGTGTGTCCCGGCTGGAGCCGAGCTCTGTGGGGCCCAGACGCGGGGCTGACAGGTCAGAGCACCCCGTCAAGCAGGTGCTGCCCAGAACCCTGGCTTCCCCGGTACTAGAGTTCTCCACGCTCAGGGCGGGGGATGCGCCCGCAGCCTCTTCTCCAAAGTTCTAGAACAGCGGTCGCCAACCTTGCGCACCTCACAGACCACCAGTGGCCCGCGGACCAAGGGTTGGTGACCGCTGTCCTAGAACATGATGGCGAGTCTAATAGTTTGCATTCAGTGTTCAAAGAAACGTGGATCCATCCACAAGCCACGTAAGAAAGGAACTTCCGAGACTGATGCTACCACCGACCAAAGAGCAATCGCCCTGTTCAGGCACCTGTCCTGGGGCGGGCCACGTGCGGGAAGGCGGCAGGGGCCTTGACAGGCAGCCGGGCGGCCCCGTGTTCCGAGGGGTCCACACAGTGGGAGAGAAATAGCCCAGCATCCTTGCTTTAATAACAGTTTTTGCAAAAGATAGACACGTTTCCAGCAATTAATCCAAGAATGTCTCCGTGTCATTAAGTCCGATTACGCAGGTGGCCTGGGGAACATTTACCTGCCCACGGAGCCGCACAGAGCTCTGGCTGCTTAAATGTCCCTCAATGCGCATCGCAGCAGCAATTCTTCGCTAGAGGCCTCCCATCTCTATGGAGTATGTTTAATCAAAGTATTTGAAAAGAATTGGGCCATTTTTGTTAAGGTTCTCAACTCACTTCAATAGTTGCCACATGTCATCCTCTGAAAAGCCAGTTTCTCCTGTCACACAAAGCAAGTGACTTGGACTTCAAAGGCTAATAATTCCAGCAATTATTGGCTATATTCCTTAGCAGTAAATTGTGCACACATTCTCATGTATTTCAAATGTTGTTCGAGGGCAGAACACAGGTAGTATGAACCTGTGACCTAAATGCTCTCTGAGAAGAATAAACTACTTATATAAAGAGTGGTGTGGCCGAGACCGGTTTGGCTCAGTGGATAGAGCATCGGCCTGGGGACTGAAGGGTCCCAGGTTCGATTCCGGTCAAGGGCATGTAACTGGGTTGCGGGCACATCCCCAGTGGGAGATGTGCAGGAGGTAGCTGATCGATGTTTCTCTCTCATCGATGTTCCTAACTGTCTATCTCTCTCCCTTCCTCTCTGTAAAGAATCAATAAAATATATATATAAAAAAAAAAAAAGAGTGGTGTGGTTTCTTGCTCAGAGTGCATACAGACATATATCTTTTGCATACCAAAATTCTGGAAGATTTTGCCAGGCCCCAAAATATTTGTATAAAGTCTGTGCTCACGTGATCACAGTTTTTAAATAGGGTTTGAATAAAAGCTGCAGACAAAAGCATGACTTGAAGAGTAAAAATATGAATGAAAACCGTCCACCCACACATTTCTCTCTCAATGTATCTTCTTCAATCCTCTGTTACCAGTTTGGTTTCACAGACGTGAACACAATTCTGAGTTGCCTAGATGAAACACCCCACCCAGGTCAAGGGCGATGGGCTGGTGCCACATGGGATTAGGCTGGGACAGCATCCCAGGCTGTGGTTAAACTCAGAATGAAGACAGATGACCTGACAAAGTCCCTTTCTCTGGCTTCTGGTCAATATAATCTACGCCAGCGGTTCTCAACCTGTGGGTCGCGGCCCCTTCGGGGGTCGAACGACCCTTTCACAGGGGTCGCCTAAGACCATCGGAAAACACATATATAATTACATATTTTTTTGTGATGAATCACTATGCTTTAATTATGTTCAATTTGTAACAATGAAATTGGGGGTCACCACAACATGAGGAACTGTATTAAAGGGTCGCAGCATTAGGAAAGTTGAGAACCACTGGTCTACATGCTCCCGTTTAATGTTTTTATTGATACCAGAGAGAGGGAAGGAGGGATGGAAGGAAGGGGAGAGAGAGAGAGAGAGAGAGAGAGAGAGAGAGAGAGACGTCCATTGGTTGCCTCTTGCAGGGGCCCTGACTGGGGTGGAACCCACAACTTTTTGGTGCATTGGACAGCGCTCCAACCATTGAACCACCCAACCAGGGCCAAGTTCCCCTTTCATCCCCAGGGATGGGTAACCCAAAGCTGTATTTTCCTCTGAAGCAATGCAAGACCTTTGATTTCTTACATAAGGAATTTGGTCATCACGCCAT